CTCTCTCTCTCTCTCTCTCTCTCTCTCTCTCTCTCTCCCTCTCTCTCTCTCTCTCTCACACACACACACACACACACACACACACACACACACACGATACACATCATTAGAAATCGATTTCGTTTTTGTTACTGGATTGGCGTACTGATTTGCCCGCTGTTTGTTTGCTTTCTTTTGTTTAATTTGTTTTCGGTGTTCTTTTTTTTTCCTCCTTTTCCTTTTTCCATTTCTTCCCTTTCCCTCTACTCGACTTCTCTTGGGGCGGATCCTTCGGCCGCCGCAGCTGTAAAACTCGGCCGCCGCGGCGGCAAGGTGGTCTTGTTTGTGGCGCGGGTTTTTGGATAATTGTTTTGGGGTCAAACAATAAGTGAAAAGAAAAAACAAAAATACGGGGGTTGTAGGTTTTGCGAAATCCTAACAACCCCATATATATATTTTTTTTGAATTCGACTTGATTTATGAATTAAAAAAAAAAAAACGAAAATCGATTAAAAACTTAAAAAGAGAAAATAAAAATAAATAAAAGAAAACGGTGAAAATCAGGATTTTCTTTTTTTCATTTTTGTCACAACTTATCTGGGGTCTGGCCCCACGTACAGCGTTGAGTTTTCTCAACGCTGAGCTTCCTATCACGTGTGGCATGGTGGGACGTAGGTCTGCCATTGATGTATTGCGATTTAAATGGTACCGAAATACAAGAGAATAACCTGTTAGATTTTGTCATTTTGTAGAATATTCCTTTGACGTGGAAACCGTTTTGTAGTATGCTTTGGCCCTTTTGGTTTGGGCGGGAAACCAGTTCCCATTGAGAAAACTACCCTACCGAGGGTAGCGTACATTTCTCAATTGCAGTGCCTTTCCTTTTTTATGGTTTTTTAGACATCATTACATCCTGCAACGGAGTAACTCTGCCAGCTGTGTTTGGCCGTCTGGCATCAAACTCATTTCCTTCTTTGAGCAATGAATGCATTTGGCCATCCACGTTGTCCCTGTCCATTTTACAAAGGTTACCTCTGTCCCCTCACCACGGGGAGTATCCATTCTTCACGGAGACATTCACCCCCACTGTCCCAGACATGTTCCGAGTTACATTAAAAAAAAAAAGGAGAAAAGATGTTTCTACTATCTAGCGTTTTTTTTTTTTTGTTTTGTTTTCAGTTTTTTAATTTCTTGTTTCGAATTTATTAATGTCGAAATGGCGTCCCACAGTTAAGTTTTCTAAACTCAACAATAGTAGGTAGGACCAGACCCCTGGAGTTAGCAGCCTCCTAAAAATTTTGCACAGGTAATTTTCTATTTCTTCTTCTTCTTCTTCTTTGCCGTTTTTTTTTTCTTCTTTGCTGTTTCTTTTTTTTCCTTCATTTTTGCTGTTTTTTCTTCTCATTTTTCTTTTCTTCCTTCTTCCCCCCCCCCGGCCCCCTTTC